ACTATTTCCTCAATAACTGGCATCGATCACTCCACCTAACACAATTGCCCCCTTTTAGGCTGTTAGTTCAGTGGATGAGGAGCCCAGATTGGTTAGAAAACTTCCAGTCAATGGGCTCATTATTGTATGCCCTGGTGGAAATATTTCTCCTCTGGATATTGAGAATTCTAAACCAACAAAGACCAAAGTCACAGGGACAAGAAGCAAAAATTTTGTGAGTGGGTTATATATATTGGTCACTGTTTCAGAACATATACCTCATCCTATAGGACAGAACTTTAACGACATGAGATGTTATCTTCTAGCTAGTGCCACAAGTGAGTCTTTAATAAACCATTTACTATTCTGTAAGGCCAGCTGCTTCGGAATGAATCTATGGGTCTGAGCCCACTGCCTCAGTTGATGAGAGGCAGTGTTGTGTGGAATACCACATGATGAATAAGGCATTCAGCAAGTTCATGGATAATAATAATGACAATGATTATGATAACAAAAATTATACTAGCTAATACATATAATACTGATTGCAGGTTAGGCACTGTTATATTCATCTAATCCTCAGTCCTAAATGAAGAAACTGAGGTTAAATAATTTGCCCAAGGTCATAAGATACATAAACAGTTAGAATTCCTACGCAGGCTTCTCAGCATGAACATACAATCAAATTTAAAATAATAAGGGGTGGGGAAAATGTCTTGGTTTTATAATACCTGGCATTTTTTTCCTTTAAAAATTATTCTTTGTAAATATTTTAGGCCTGGCATGCACGGAAACAATCTATATCTTGAGTGTCTTTTTCAGTGAGGACAAATCCCTACTTTCTCTATGGAAGGGATATGATATACTCTGACTGCCAGTAAGTGCCCAGCTGGTCCCGCCCCCCGCGCCCCAGAGCATGGAGTAGGGCTCAGTAGTAAGCCAACATCAGCTTCTCTAAAAGAGAATAGCCATTGCCAAAAATAGCATGGCTTCGCTCCATAATCATAAGGCCCTGTGCTGTGATTCTGTTATGGAAGTTTGCCACAGTGTTCTGTACCCTCATTTGCCAAGGGACTTTGCACACCACTCGATCTGCTAGGTCATAAAACCCAAACTGCTTACATTTCAGCCTGTACCCACTGAACACCATCCTTTTTTTGGGCTCATCAAAACTGGTACCCTTATAGGTTATTCAGTAAACAGGTCAGTGCAGCATAACCAAATGTGGTATGTTACCTCTAAAATCAAAAGCAATCCATCAGATGCTTGAAATTTTTCTCAGTGATGGGGAGGATACAGTGCAACAGCTCATCTTTCGCTTTCGATTACCTGCCATACTCTAGACTACTGCTCTGGATTCCTAAAGACTTCACGGAGGTAGAAGTGACTAATTTCTACAGGGATTATTGCCTATCCTCTAAAAAAAATGTTATTTTACCAAGGCATTTACATACCTGCTACTTTTTGCTTATTATGACCAACACCATGATGCATTACATGTAATGTTCTGGGAAATGTGAGATGATTAAAGTGCCTGAAGATTAGATTTCAACTGAGCTGAAGAGGAGAGATATAACCCAGATGTAGGAAAGCAAGATGTACTGTAAACCCTGACAGGTAAAAGTGATCTGCTTTTCATGTTTTCTGCTCCTTGAGCTAGAGAAAAAGGCATATTCCAGGTCAATAGTTGCAGGTGCCAGGGTCAGATATTGACTTGCTTCATAAAGAGATTATATTTGAAACAACAGCTACAACCCAAATCCTGTACAGGGCAAATAACTTCAATATGAATAAGAGACCACCACTCCTGAATTTCTGTCTTTGATGATGGCGGTAATATCTACCGTTTGTTCCCTCAGGGATGCATCATTGCTTTTGGCTAATAATTTTGGTGGGAAAGAAAAGCTCCAGAGAGTTTCTTCTGCTGTTACCATGATAGTTTTAACGCTATGGGTTAATATGAAGATCCTGCCAGTCGCCAAGTGTATCTATTACAACTGTGACTACAAGAACTGAGAAATAACCATAGGCTGGATATGTGAGATAGACCTAGGCCAAAATTCTTTTTAAATTACTTGACCCCCACACATTAGTTTACTCAGTATGCTGCAACAAAGCACCACAAATTAGGTGGCTTAAACACTAATTTATTGTCTCACAGTTCTGGTGGTTAGAAGTCTGAGGTCAAGGTGTCTGCAGGGTTGGTTCCTTTTGAGGGCTATACGGGAAAATTTGTTCCATGCCTCTCTCCTAGCTTCTGGTTTGTGGTTTTCTGGCAATCTTTGGCATTCTTTGGCTTCTACTATATCATCCCAATTTCTGTCTTCATCTTCACATGGCATTCTCCCTGTGTCTGTCTTTGTATCTTAAATTTATTTTTCATATGGCACCAATATTAGTTTGGGGGCCCACCCTGCGCCAATATGACCTCATCCTAATTACATCTGCAACAACCCTATTTCCAAATAAGATCACATTATGAGGTATTGGGATTTAGGACTCCAACATATAAATTTTGGGGAACATGATTCAACCTATAACACTCCATAAGCCTCTAGTTTAACTAGTGGAACACGAAGACCTATAGGTCCAGTTTCCAAATATTCTCTGAAGGCCCAGGTAATTTCCCTTTTTCCAAGCACAGGAACATAGGTTAATGGCTTAAGATTTTATTGGGAAAACTAGAACTTTTACAGTTCAGTTATGATGATATGCTGAGTGCTTCCTCCATGGTACCTAGCATCCCTTTATTCAAGGGCCTTGAGTTTCAGAATTAAGTATGTGTCCATAACTCCCTATTTTGGTGACTCAAAACTGGCTTTTCTCTGCCAGACCTGGAGTTTTGCTTTGTGTTATGAAGACCAACTACAAACAGGTTATATTTCTTCACTCCAGCTCTTTTGCCTTGGTACCTGCCCCTTGGCCCCTGTCACTCCAGGATCCCATCATCTCTACTGATATGAGGAATTCCATTTCAACAACAGCATCTCTTAGCATCATGCTCAGCCTATGAAGGATATTTAGTACAATACTTTTCAAGGTAAGGTGTTTCCCTTATCCATGTACTTTCCAATTCCTTGGTGAAAGGAATATCCTCTGAGCAATTTTGGAGGACAAAATTAGGAGATGAGTAGGTCACACATAGGATAAATCTGCATGAACATTTGTCTTCATGTTTTCAGCTGTCTTCCAATGCTATACTAAGGAATTTTTGGCAGTTCAATTTCTTTTTGAGTGTAGACCACTGTTAAGTTCAGGTTTCATCCAACCAGCCAGCTAAGAGCCACTCTTAGCTGCTAAAGCCAGAATTTCTAGAATGCCCATATTAATAAATTCAACCCAAATGAAAATAAAATTATGTTCTCTTCTTCCTGGTCTAACACTTTTAGAATCTAGCTCGCACACATTCCTCAGGTTTCTATTGATTCAAACCAGCAAAATATTACAATTCTTCTGTAAGTCTCAAATCAGACTGTTTACCTTCCAGATGCATACTGGGATCTGCCTGCCCGTAGTTACAGATATGGTGGCAATAAGGGGTAGTGGGTGGTACATAAAAAGTACTGGCTTTCCTTTTTAAGGCAATTATTCCAGGGCCTCCAAGAAAGACTGAGAGGAAAAAGTTGAGTGGAGTCTGTGGGTTCAGAATACCAAGACATATCTAAATCCGTTCAAATGTTCCATTTCTTATTTCAGAGTCCATCTCTTTCCTAAACAATGCCCTAATTTTCACATGAGATTCTTGGTAATGCTATGAATGTAACTTACGTTGCAATTCAATAACCCAGAATCTCCATTTGATTTTCATGTACATCACCCTTGTGGCTAAAAGAGACAAAATTCTTTTGGGGCTCTCCCGTACTCGTCTGAGCTAAAACCTTAAAACTAATGAGACTTTCATTTTCTTTAACCTCTCTAGCATAGCCACTGCCATTTAAGTCCTCATTTCTTACATGATAATCTATCATGACAGCCACTTTTGGTCCTCCAAAAGGCATTTCATCTCAGGTGACTGCAGGTATAAGTAATCTTTGCCTACTAGTTTACCATTTTCCGGGGACAACTAGATTCTCTTTTCCTTCAAACCCAACTCAGTCATAACTAACCAAAGTCCCATTTTTGAGGGTGTGTTGCCTGTGATCACTTTTGGAACCAAATACTTTTATCAGTCAGGGTTCAGTAGTTGCAGGAAACAAAATGCTTCTACCTATTTTAAGTAGAACAAGATTTAATACAGGTAAATTAGGTGCTTACAAGAGTTGGGAAGCCTAGACAAGTGATTTCTAGGCTGAGCTTCTAGGAAAAGCCCCCCAGATCGTTCTATCATGGGAGCTGCGACCTCTGCCACCACCAGGAAGATGAGGAATCAGGAGGCCACCTCAGGCTGACTACAAGCACACACATCACTGTTACTTATGGGTCAGGAAACCCTCATACACTCACAAACTCCTGGTGGGTATTGGAATATCACTGAAGAGAAACCCGAGGTCTCTACATCCTTGCAGGAGCAACAAAGTAGCTAAAGATGCCCCCTTAATCACTTTTCCCTTCCATATCCTATTTGTGTATCTAATTGGCGAAACAAATTATATTCAGAACCTTGGTTTCTAGGAAGTTTAAGGTATGCACTGTAGTTTTTAGCTTTCCAGCCTGTGGAGTACAAGGAAGTATATTAGAAAGAGGTCAGAGTAAGTACCTATTTACCATATCCTACAGTTTCTTTCCATGGGCCCAAGTAGGACTTGTGACCAGACGCTCCTTCTCCCAATTTCAGCCCCTTTGAAAGTTGACCGCAAGCCCTCCATCTGTCCGGCTTTGAAAAGTACCTCTTTCCAGCCTTAGAGGAACCTAACATTTCCTTGTCTTCAGAGTTGTTTTGCTAAGTGACACAACCTTGTTCCCAGCCATTTCTTTAACCTAATCTTCTACTCTCTTCCTTGGTCCACTTTGTTCCAGTCACATAGGCCTATATGGGGTGTGTGTGTGTGTGTGTGTGTGTGTGTGTAAACAGACTAAGGATGCTCCATCAAAGAGCCTTTTTACTTTATTCTTCATGCCTGGTATTCACATAGTTCTCATTCCATTTGGGACTCTAATAAAATGTTACCTTTATCAAAGAGGCCTATACTACCCACCTGAAGGAGCAACATCTGACTCACTCTCTTCACTTTTTCTGCTTCGTTTTCTTTAGTGCACTTACCCTCATCCAGATCATTTTTCCCCACTAAGGTGTTAGTTCCGTGGGGACAGAAATTTCATGTTTTTTCTTAATGCATCCTATACCTGAAACATAGTACGTATTTCAGAACGAATGAAAGCTCTACCGAGAGGAAATTAAACATTCCCCATATTCTAAGCAGACCAACTTTTCCGATGCATTACTCATGTTCTCCTCCAGGTGGTGGTGATGGACAGGACTTTTCATCTGCTAATGTCTAGGAGATATAACAGTAGTGTAGTTTTTCATAGCCTCTGGTCTAGAGTTCTGGGCTTTCTCAGTTGACACCCATAATTTCCCTTATTTCTTCCTGTTCCTGAAGGAGGAAAAAACATGGGCCTTTAACCAAAAGTATTTTCAGTATACCATCTCACTTAATCTTTACAACCCCATAATTAGATTATCGCCATTTCTGCTAAGTGAAAACAGACTCAGAGTAATTTCCCCAAGTTTCACAGCAGTAAGAAGTGGAGCATAGAAAAGAATACAGGTTTGGCTGCAACCTTCTGGCCTTCCAACAGACTTCTTCGATTTTATCCAAGTTAACTGCTCTCTTGATGAGGCTTCAAGAGGACTGTGAGTATTGCGTTAATTGCATTTCAGAGATTTCCAGATTGCCCTTTTTCCCAACAGGTTCCCCTTTTCACATTTGGACACCTCTAGGGTGCCCTCTTCCAAAGACCCAAAGTCTACTAACAGCATTTCCTGTCCCAGGTGCAGGGAAATGTGCTAAGTCTGGCTGCAGTGCTCAAGAGATCAGAACCTTCCAAGTTGGCTGTTGTCCAGACTCATCATCCTCATTGTAGTAAAGCACAGGCCAGGAAGACAAAGAGCAGGTGCACCTGTGAAAGGAAACAGAAAGCCATCTGGTCCTCAGGGAAAGGATGTTTTCAATTCTTCCTCTGGACCCAGGGCTAAGGTGATAGAGAAGTTTGGCACTGGAAGCTCCTTAAATACTATCTGAAAGTTGGGGGAAATTAGGAGCAGGAGAGAGTAACTAACTCACACAGTCACAAAGTAAGTTACTGCCAGATTTGGAATCCTACACCATGTCTCATGCACCTTAATTTTTCTGCTGTATTATATATGAGCGTTCCTTTCTTAGACCATTATTCTAGACAGAGCCCAAATCCCAAGTAGTACTAACACAGCTCAATTCTGACAAATTTAAAAGATCAGATAAAATTATGTTGAGATTTCGATGGCACTTCCCCTCTCTCCTTTCATTACAAATTTTAGTCCCTCTTATTTAAACTAGATTGGCAAAACTGAGAAAGCTTTTTGGAACAGAAAACGTGTACGTGAGAGCCTAACAGATTATTTCTTGGTGATTATGCAGAATCATTATATTTCTTCCTTCGGTAAGAATGCTCTGTTCCCCAACTTGTAACCCTGCAACATTCACTGGGATCTAAGGAGCCGCTGGAACTGCCACCCTACCCTCCTCTGGAAACACATTTCTAATAATGACTACAATATAGAAAAGGGAAAATAAAGCTTTAACAGGGAAACTGCACAGCTGCCTCTAGAGGGCAAATGAGGTTCATTTTAATCTACAGCTTCTCTATTTGGCTGACTCAGCTAATTCTTCAGTCTGACTACACAGTCCAAAACAAGCCTGGCTTTGCTTCCTATCATGCTAGGAGTCCTTGGTTTATAGTTGACTCCACTGCAGTCTGATTAGAATACAATCCTTCCCTGGGGTTAGGAACATTCACATCTAGAGACTGTTAAAGATGTAATGGTCTATTTCAAACACTTGGCTCTGTAGGACTACCCACGCCAAGGAAAATGAGATGAGTTGAACAACAGAAATCTTTATTAAAATGTGTCCTTCAGTAATGTTAGCATACATACAATATACACACATACATCTGTACACTCTTTGACACACCTCATGGATTGCCACTATCAGTTTAACCAATAAATTAAAACTAAAAAAAGGAGAGAGGTAGAGGGGGGAGAAGGAATGGGTGAGACTAAGGGAAAAATTTCCATGTTTTATCTGTAAGAAACTGCAAATTTCTCCGAATTTCCCTGGGGAAAACATGGGACCAGAGAATCTTTGAAATAAAATACATAAATCTCCGCTTCCCACCCTCCCCCCCAAAAAAAAAGATTCCAAAAGATGCAGTTACAAGTGTGCTTCTCAGAACGGGAGCATTCATTCCACTTCATACTCTGGCTTCTGCACCTTCTGGCTTCAAGACAGTCTTCCCCGCAGCTGGGGCAGAGAGGTTAATATGGGCACTTGGGCTCGGTGCACCTTGGGCTCTGGGAGTTGAGGGGCAGGCTGCAGTATGGGAGCGAGGGGAGCCGCACTCATCTGAAGTGATGTCTGGCACATCGTCTGACTGCGTATCAGAGCTCTCCAGGTCACTGCGGATGCTCTCAGGCTGGGCCAAGCTGATGTCCCAATGTTTGCTGGCCAGACAGTCTTTCTGTTCACAGCTTTGGTGTTTGCAGGGGGGATCCTCTTCATTGCTGCCATCGCTGCCATCGCCGCCACCACCGCCACCACCACTATCCTCTTCTTCATTCTCCACCATCTGAGCATGAACATGGAGCGAGTCCTCCGTGCTGCTTCCACTCACCAGCTGATAGTGGCTTGGTTTAGCTTCAATGTCCACTTGGATTTCCATATTGTTGCATTCTCTGTGGAGACAAAATCCACTTTGCTGAGTCATACATGAGTCATGCTCTACCTGTTGGTAAAAGCAGTTTGTGGGTTCAGGATTAGGAAGTCCAAAAACATAGGTAAATAGTAGACTAGAGCTCATTTCCGACGAAAATAAAAATTTAACCTAACACTCAAATAAGATGGAGAACAATTTGATCTGTTGATTTAAAACACACACACAAACCTCTGCCATTTCTTTAAACAACTAAAACACAGCTTCCAAAATTTAACTTAAGTGTCAGAGCCTTACATTATCTTACCCAAATATGAAACTGAAAGAAGATTCATAGCTTTTTACTACTGTGCCACAATCAGAAGAAACCAGAAACTCTCCAGAAGGGAGTGCTGCAATCGCACCAGACAAGATACACTAACTTCTCAAAAATAAAGAGAAATAGGCTATAGGAGCCACATTAAGCAAAAGGTGACATGAGAGCAGAAACCATACACCCATGGACATTAATGAATACCAATCTAGCTTTAAGTTCCATGTGAATAATTACACTGATTAATAGCCAAGAAAAGACCCAAAAAAAAAAAGGATAGAAGGAAGAAAAAAACCTCTAAAAATCAAGTACTAACAAGAATCAATCAAGAGCTGCCAAGAACTTGCTCAATGAATTCACAGGATACACACACTATATATCCTGACAGATGGTACACAGAGCCCTAACATAAAGCATTGAACTTCTGAAGGCCTAGTACCCAACCAAAAAATGAAACCTCTCCTGGGCATCTGACTCTTCACATACCTGTCCTGTGGGTTGTAGGAACTGATTATGGAACCGGCCATAGCACGAGTGCTTGCGTTGTCACTAATTGCACCAAGACTGGCTGTGTCTTTGGGGAAAATTTCCTTTTGGACATCGGCTTGGACTTCTAACCTGTGTAAAGAGGGGACGTTCAAGTTAATAGGAGGCCTGGATATTCCAAGACAGTCTGCTTCCTGGCACACATCTCTTCCATTATTCTCTTGCAAACTGAGTTGATTTGATCTTCTCCAATTGTCAAATAGCTCAAATAGATGCCCACACATTTTCTCTCTTAAATATCTATTGAAATCGTCCCCTCCTTTCTATCCCCATTGCTACTGCTTAACGTCAGGCCCTCAGCATCTCCTGCCTGGATAATTGCAATTGGGCTCTCTCTCCAGTAGCCTTACATCCAAGTCACACAACTTCCAGATCAGTGCCAATGTGGACGAAGATCTGATCACTTTAACAGTCCTCTCTTGGCTCCCTATTGCCAACAGGCATTTAAAGTATTCCTGATCTCCTCCAAGATCGCTCTCTATTTCCTCTCTCACCGCAGGTCCTAAGTCATAATCACTTTGAATTTTCTTTCCTTACACACTTATACACATTTTATATTGCCATGACTTTGCAAGAAAGTATCATCTCCCCTCACTCTCCCAGCAAAGCAGTCACTTCCTGCTAAGTGCTCTCACAGCACCTACTTATTATATTGATTAACACATCTTTCACTCATGTGTGAGCTCCAAAAAAAGGAAAGACCATACCCCATTCACTTTACCCTCAGTGTCTTTGCACATACTAGGAACTCAAACATTTAGCAATCAAATTACCCCCAGGTTATGAGATTGAAGGTCAACGGCCTATAAGAGCAGTAAATTTCCAATGGTGTCTGAGAGCTAAGAACACATAACTATTTCCTTTCTTGGCTCTAATACCATTTTGTTGTACACAGAAGTATTTCCCCATAATGGGTTTCACAGTCAAACCCATCTGACTCATTCACTTCCTATAAAAGGCTTTCACAGAACTGGAACAGCTGGACTGGCTAAGCTGCAGTTTCACCAAGTCAGTCTCCAATTATGTCTGTCTGCTTATTTATAGGGGTGTTGGTTTTAAGAAAGCATAGCAGTGAATTCTCTGGCATGTGGGGGCGGGATCCCCTAAGAAGAAAAAACCAGAGTCATGAGACACAGACAGGTCAGCAGGAGCCTACAGCTGCACATTCAAGCAACCTCATGCTGCCCCCTGAGCCTCTGCTGTGCGGCTCTAGTCTCAGATGCCCTTCAAGAATGTGCCACAGCCCAGGAAAATGAGGCAGTGCAATAGAAAGTGCATCAGGTCGGAGACCTGGCTTCTGCTTTCAGCTCTGTCATAGAATCACTCTTAGAATTGGAAGAGGACTTTCACAAAGGCCATCTACTTGGGTTGATTCCCAGATGCTAGTTTGTGCAATGATTATGCTAGAATCACCTGGTGAGCCTGTATTTTCAAAATACAGACCCCGTAGGTCCCACTCCAGGAGATTCTAATTTATTAATACAGGGATAAGGTCCTAAAATCTATTTTTAAGAGGCTCCCAGGAGACTGACAGGCACTCAGGTGTGAGATCCAGTGCATATGCCATCTGTTGCTTGAGTCCTTCGAATAGCAAAATGGCCATCTGGTTTCACTTTCAAGCACTTCCAGGGATAGGTGGCTGAGTATTTACTAAACTAATCCATTTTTGGACTTTTATATAGATTTTCTCTATATTCTCTATAATGAAGCAAAATTAGGTTCCCTCTAGTCTTAATCTACCTCTCATCATGAGTTAGAAGTTTAATCTTTTCTTCCAGTTTAAGGCCTTTCAGATATCTGAAATCAACCATCTCCCCTAACTCCCCTCTACCTTGTTTTGCCCCATGTTTACCCCTCCCCAGGCCTCTGGTCTCCAGTGCATTCAACTAAGTCCTTCTCTTGTAACATTTGTTATGTTCCTCTGAATGTTCTGGTTTGTCTAACTGGTGAAATGACCAAGAAAGTCATAACTTTTTCAGTCATAAAGCTTTACATATTCTCAACACAAATTCAAAAAGTTGATTTTCCTCCTAGCAAATGGAATAGGAAGGTAATAAAGATCACAGCACCAATAAGCCAGCAAGATACAGCATAAATGCTATTCAACTCAAGGCCAGTGACAAGCCTAACGGAGAGCAGTCTTGGAAATTCTACAAAAATGCCTGCTTTCCCTTCCTGATGCAGGCAGCCTAATATAGTAGAGGGAAGATCTGAAGTCAAGATTATTCTTTATATGGAACAGTGGAAAGAACATGAACTTTGTGTTAAGTCACTTAACCTTTCTGAGCCTATTTTCTAATTGTAAAGAAAAAAAAAATACCACTGATGATTAAATCAAAATGAGGTGACATGTGGAACATGCCTGGCACAGACAAATAGCTCATACAGGTATGTTACTTGTTATAATTCCAACTGGTTCTGTCAGAAATGATCTATTTGCTTACCTGCTATATTTTCCCTTGCCACTGGAAAGAATGCCACCACTTAGTGTGCCCCCTGACAGGGCTGCAAAGCTGGCTGTTTCACTGTATGGGCCCTGCATAACACTTAGTCCATCTGTAGGGCTTCCACTGGTGCTCAAGACACTAGTCAGGCCTTCAATGCTGCTTTCTCCAATGCTGGGATTCTTGAGGGCTCGCCAGGCATCTGCCACTGGGGATGGAACCAAACACCTTAATTCAAGATAGCTAAGCATCAAAATAGTCTGCAGTGACTCTTCAGAATGGAGAATGTTCAGGTAGAAAAATACTCATTTATTCATTATTCAGTTAATGAACAGCTACTATATATAGCCACCATACATCAGAGGTTTTACCATATGTTCATATTTAATCTTCCTAATAACTAATAGCCCCCATTTTAGATGAAGAAACACAAGCTTAGAATTAAATGACTTGCCCAAGTCATGGCGAGGCACACAAAACTACAATTCTGATTCCAAGTCCACTATTCTTTCCAATGTACCAATATACCATAGATGCCATCTAATCAAACATGAAGATTTCAAAATATGTTTAGGTCATGTTCTGATAATAGCAGGAAGCTTGAAAAACCTCAGGCGATCTCTATGACCCAGATGAGTTAATATGATAAAGTAGATACAACACCACAGTAGAAGTCAGAAGATTTGCTCTAGTCCCAGCTCTGTAGAAGCTCTTAAACCCATTAAACAGATGTTGAGACAAAAGCTTAAATAAGTTCCCATTAAATGGGGAATAATAATAGCTCCCGCTCTCCTCCTTCAGAGAGCTGCTGTAAAAACCAAGTGAGATAATAACTGTGTAAAGTCCTCTGAAAATTATAAAGTACTGTGCAGATTTAAGACTTTATTATAATCACTACTATTACCAGTGTACTTGGAGTTACTTGGAATCCTACTAGTTTGTACCTGCCACACAGAGGCAAGTACCAGAGGAATTAACCTAATAACAAAGAAATGAAAAGCTAAAAATACTTTACCCCGTATAAAGCTCATTATCCAAAGTAATCCAATGGCAATCTCTCTGTAAAATGTGCTAAATTTTACTGATTTTTATCTTGTGTCCCACAAATTCAAAAGGAAATTAAAATCCTCCTTTTACCTGTGATTGGGCCATCATCTTCATCAAACTCAATTTTCACTCCCTTTCCGTTGGCTGTGCTAACTCCACAGCCGCCTCCACGACAGAGAGAAATGGGCACAACCCCGTAGACATAAGCCAGCATAATGGGGACGCCAATACCTGGGGGAAGAGAAGGAAACATGTCAGCAGACCATCAGTTTGCAACTGCCCTGAATTCTCCTTCCCAGCCTGAGCACAAACTACGCTATAAAGGGCCAAGGAAAGGGAGAAAATGGCTCTTCCAAAGAGTCAAGGCCAGTCTAACGGAATGACAACTGGATTTAGAATCAGAAAGGCCTGGATTAGAATCTTGGCTCTGATTTATTAGCCATATGACCATGGACCTATCTTCCCAGGGTTGTCAATGATCAAAAGAGAATGTACGTACAGTGCTCACTCAGCACAGTAAGTATACGTTACTTTCATTTTCCCCTTTTATTCACTGCTGAAGTGCTAATCCAAGAATGAATCAATAACCAAATATTAAATAAGTGACTCCTGGGATTAGGATCCCCCTCCAGGGTATTAATTCCAAAATCTTACTGCTGTGTGAAATAGAATAGTTTAGTTGTTAAGAGCAAAGGCTCTGAAGTCAGACTGTCCTGATTCATGTCCCACCCAAGTGACCCTGGGCAAATTACTGCACCTTCCTGTTATAATTGTGCTGCTGTAAGGATTAAATGAAATAATACATGCAAAACACTCAAGACTGTTCCTGGCACGTGGAGAGCCTCAATAAATGTTATATTATTATTATTATTTTAAAACAAACCCTCATGCCTCCCAAAATAGTGTGTGACATTAAAAACAAATCAAAATAAAAGTAATTGTATTTTGTGGTTCCACAGCAAATGGAGAAAAGAGAGGATGAAAGGTGAAACACTAGGCCTTAAAGTAATATTCTTTAATTCAACCTTCTCTGAAAGATCCCTGACTCTGATCATTTAGTCTGGCTGATAACCATAACAACAGTGCCTAAGAGAGTTAACTCTCAAGGTGAGTTTGGTATAAATATAGGGGTCTCCAGGGTGAAACATCTGGCCAGCTGGCTAAACTGCTATAGTCAGAAAGTTGATGCAGGGCTGATTTGATGGAGGGAGCAGGAAAGGGAGGGCAGAATGAAGTCATGGTCCTGGCTAGCTTCTTACCAACACTAACTGCAGCAATAACTGGAGATGCAATGACTGACAAAGTCACTCCTCCTGTGATAGCCAAATTCCTCTTATGTTTGGAGGTTTTTCTTCCCTCATACCTGCTATGAATCTAAGAATAAGAAAGAAAATCCAGGTCAGCAGGTTAGGACATCAATCTTTTTGCCAGGGAGTAAAAGGACAAGTGAATATTCCCATATAAATTATCTATATTAAAACATATCCCCCACCCCAAAGAAGCATCTTTCTCAAATTTTAACCTTCTTAACCTAAATCAGACCAGGATGATATAAACTAATACAGAAAATGTTAAGCCACGAAGAGACAAGATAACTCAGGAGGGTGAAGTAAGCATTTCACCTTTAAGTCACTGAGAGAAACCAAGCCCAAGATGTTAATAGGAACTTTCAGATCTCTTGGGGGTTTATGAAAATCCATTTAAGAAATTAAGGTTATTTTTATCCAAGAACCAGCTGGTTTTCAGGCAACTCTGAACATAAGCTCCTCCCCATTTCCTTCTAACCGTAACCAATAAATCTGAAAATGGAACATGCATAGAACTCAATATCTTACCTTCCTG